CCCATGGTCACAAAGACAACTGAGCTAACATAAAAAAATTGTTCAGGAATATATTAAAGTAGAGTGCGACAAAAATCGAGCGACAGTATTCTATCAATACAAATTTCAAATTAGTAAAGAACAGTGTGTTCCTTTTTCACTAACACCTCAATTCACCTTCTTCGCATACTGCTGACTAGAGTTTTGGGAACTTTGATGGTCTCCGTTCTGCTTTCTGGACCATTTTCGCTCGAACAACAAATCACAAGGACTTTCGGAGGTGAATTGAAATGGGGACTGCTAGCAGGTCACTCCAAAAACGTGGATTGTTTGGCAAAGCAACCAGGCTTTTGTGATGTAACGGGTATCATGCGTATTTTGTGGGGTGGTGTTTTGTTATTGGTTATGTGATCACCACGAAGCAGTTGACAAACCGGAACGAACAGTATGCGTACAAAGAGGTTCACGGAAATGCATACTCAGCACCAGATAACTCACTTCGCTTGGACTAAGCGACGTTCCAAGTCATCCAAGCTATCCGAATGTATAAGGCGCACCGATCCTAGGATAGTATATCTTTTCCGATGTAGTCTTTTGCACTAAAATACGAACAATAATAAAAATGAAAGTCAAACGTCACGTTTTGTTTCCTGAAAAACTGAACGTTGGTCAATGGAAAAATTCAATTAGCTAATTTGACCCCAAACATATGCCACCGGTACCTCAGTTAGAAGGAATGACCGATGACTCTCTAAGTCAGTATCAGTACTGGTCAACAATCGTACGCTATAACACAAAGGACAACATACAATTCTATTAAATACGCTAGAGGCTATTGATGAGGATATTTTTCATCATCATCGTACAAAAAATACAGTGCTGCGGGCCTCATTGATCACTGCCAGATAACCACATGTGGAACTTCCTCCTCCTCCTCCAACACCCGAACCTTTCGGGAACAAGAGGCGTATGTCACCGATCAGGCCGGAGTGAGAATAGGTCTAGGAGGCAGGACTGAAAACGACCTCCTGGATTGGATTCCTGACCATAGTGGACTCTGTGCCGCAGGACTTGGAAGTTTGTCAAGTATCTTGAAAAAGAAACAAAGTAACATCGCTTTCGACAATATCGAGATGACAACCCGGAAACAGTGAAGGTAAGTTTGGTCAACAGTTGCTCGACCTCTGACAAAAGGTGCGAAAAATAGATAGTGTGGCACAAGTCGGAGACCCGAACAATGTGGGACACAGTCGTCTCGCTCTCTTTACATTTTGTCAATCACTGCGCGTTGCTGTTATTCCTCAGGGAGTTGATATTTTAGGGATTAATGTGGTGTAATATTCGGTGTCCAGAGGAATGGTTGTGAGGGCATCCAATAAGTCAGCAGAGATTACGGAGATTCATCGTTTGTTCTTGGATAGCGTACCAGAACCCATGGTTTCGATCGACATTTCGATAGCTTTCTTGATTAACATCCATCGTTCCTGGAAACCTTCGACGGGTGATTGAACTGAGAGGTAAGATAGCTCCACTTCGAGAGCCAACTTACAAATGTCGCTTCAACTATATTGTAGGTAGGTGCCTTGTAGGGTATAGGGCGAATCTGACTGGTTAAACAGCATAGTTCACTTAGACGGGTGTTGGCAATTGAGAGCGTCAGTCTTAAATGGACCGCCATCGGTAGTAACCGACGGCAATGTAGTTGAGTTTTTCGCTGGGAATAGAAAGGTTTACAGGTACAGGGGTATTGCCCCCTGTGAGAGAGGTTGGTGCTTGATTGGAACAATCCGTGATCTGCGCAAATTGGAAGTAGACGGTTTCTGATATCCATTTGGTTGGCTGGACCTCCTAGGTACCCTTCCCATGTGCCCAGGTATCCCATTTTAACACTGAAGTCGCCGGCGACCTCCGGTGAGCGAACACCTTGGAGCAGCTGAGAAAGGTCCTTGCAGAATGCATCATTTCAGGCGCACTGTAATCAGTCATCATCTTACGTAATCGATTTATGGTGGATCAAGAACTTCGCAATAAATCATTATTCGTTTTTTTAGTCTTAACTAAGTCTCATAACACTGTGTTTTGGTGAAGACTTTGCTATGAGAACCAATCGGAAAATGTAAATGCCAAGAGACAGCGCAACACCTGAAAATGAAACATGAATGAATAGAGTGATCAAAGAGCAATCGATCACCATAACTCAATCGTTAGACTTTACAAACAAATTACAGCTCCCTAATGATGGTATTCATGCTTCTGCGTTAGACTATGTCATTGCAGGAAAGCATTACCCGACAGTCCGACGAGACAATGTTGTCTTGGTCGGAACACTTTGCACACAACACCCAGTACGCTTGACTTTAGTGGACCAGAAAAATTGATCGAATTCGAAAAACTGCAAACAGTTCATTACTGAGATGGTGAATGTTTGGATTAGCCCATTTGGTTTTCCATAGGCATCAGGCACTGTTGATGATTTTGGTTCATCACTGAGTTCCGAAAATCACATCAGTAGGTAAAAAAATGAAAGGAAACACTCACTGCCTGACGTATATTTTGCAAGTGGCTCTCAGCATCAATCTTTTTGGCCGAATACTGTTGCATCTCTAATGCGTACGTCAATTGCAACCACAGAGCAAGTTCACTGACATCTGAACCGGTACTCGGATCACCAGATACGGATTTCAAACTCTGTTGATTATCCCAATCCGTTACGGTGTGTGCACAATCCGTATTGGAAAACCAACAACTGGACTCTATTTCCTCACCATGATCTAGACGTTCATCACAGGGTGACGAATTGAACGGGTCCAGTGGACAGTCCGATGTGGTGCCTCTCTCATCAGCTGAAAGAAGCCATTCGTTCACGGAAGTGGATAAGGGACGTTTGAATTCTGTGACAGAAGGCAAACGAGCAGCCTCCGAAAAATCCCGAAGTCGCTGTTTCAAGAAGCAATAGTGCGATGAGGGAAGTTTTCAAAAACTGTACCAAACGTATACAAATATATTAGGCCAACGACATAAAAAAATGGAATTAGTTCGATTTCACGTGCATGCAGTAATATAAGTAGTAGTAATATAATATAATATAATATGATATAAGACAACAACCGATATCCTGCATTGCAATATTGCATACATACATACATACCGTTTCCTCATTATAGATGGAAATGAACACGTATATTTTCAAACACAAACGAGGATCGAACCAGAGTTCTTGAACTGACAAAAAACATGACATAAGTAAAACTAAAATGTGGCGCTTGTTGGAGCACCAAACAGACTGAAAACTGCACGTAATGACACTTCTTGAAATTTCCTGTGTTTATTAAATATCACAAGCCATTGTGTGATGAACAGCACAACAGGTCAACCCAATTGTCGCAAGGACCTACTGGACTGGCAACCTAGGACCTGGGACTTCATAGGGTTTCATTAACATAAGAAGGGGACTGAGCGAAACGAAAGCAAAAAGCTGCCTATCACCAAACAAACTTGGTATAGGTTCCAACGATCGCATAGCTGGTTTCTAAGTATACATATATCTATAATGATTGATTGCTCTTTGATCACTCTATTCATTCATGTTTCATTTTCAGGTGTTGCGCTGTCTCTTGGCATTTACATTTTCCGATTGGTTCTCATAGCAAAGTCTTCACCAAAACACAGTGTTATGAGACTTAGTTAAGACTAAAAAAACGAATAATGATTTATTGCGAAGTTCTTGATCCACCATAAATCGATTACGTAAGATGATGACTGATTACAGTGCGCCTGAAATGATGCATTCTGCAAGGACCTTTCTCAGCTGCTCCAAGGTGTTCGCTCACCGGAGGTCGCCGGCGACTTCAGTGTTAAAATGGGATACCTGGGCACATGGGAAGGGTACCTAGGAGGTCCAGCCAACCAAATGGATATCAGAAACCGTCTACTTCCAATTTGCGCAGATCACGGATTGTTCCAATCAAGCACCAACCTCTCTCACAGAGGGGAGAAATACGTTGATTATGATAGAACATTTGGGTTGGCCTATCCCGACCTTTTCCGTACACGTTTCAAAGTCAAAAATCACCACTCAGTCATGAAGACGGAATCTCCGATTGAACTGCCTCAGATACGAACAACAAATTCGTGATGGTCTCATATCACATTTTGAACGGTCAAATGGGCAAACCGTCAGTCGAATACCTTGACCCAACTATAAATATCCCACCCATTTGATACCATCTATCTTCAGTCCGCCAACTTTAAAACCCGCTTAAATTTTCTATGCAAGACTGATGTTTGAGTCCTTGGCGAATAAAACAACAGTCATCTCCTCAATAACATTTTGAAATGTTCAGTACAAAGTCGCAAGAAATGCACATGAAACTCTGGACTCTTTCCGTCGACGGTTACGTCTGGGAACCATCCCATATTTTA